GTAAAATCTTTGTCATGTTTAGTTAAAAATATACGTTTGTATAGTGAACGATAAATGAATGATGACACCAAGATAAGTGTTGATAATACAATGAAACAATGAATTTATTTTTGCAAATAGGCCATAAAACGGCACTTTTACACGTCAATTTATATGTGAAAAACTAGATGAAGCCGTGTGAAGATGAATACGTGTGTCTATCAACAAACATTGTTTTGTTTCGAAACTGGAATACTGAGGAGTTTATTTTGAGTGCACAAGCACAATGCATATGCTAGAAAAAAAGTGTTTACTTCAGCATAGGTTAATCCAAACTAATATTATAAATGCGAAAGTAACTCTGTCTGTCTGTCTGTCTTTTCTTCACGCCTAAACTACTGAACCAATTCCTCTGAAATTTGGTACAGACATAGTTTGAAACTCGAGGGACATAGGACCAAAAACCTGCAGGAAGTCACTTTTCGACGTGAACGAAGTCGCGGACAATAGCTAGTTATTTTAAGGACCAAAAATGTGCAGGACGTCACTTTTCGACGTGAACGAAGTCGCGGACAAAAGCTTTTAATAAATAAAAGACGCGCCGATAGACGACTCCTCATTGTTCGAAACTGTGAATATTTTTAAGAATTTTTGTCCTCGAAATAATCATCAAATCTAATATTTAATTATTGTTTGTTGATTAAACTATTATTGCACTATCAGCAACTGGTCCGCCGAGTCAATATTTCTTTTTCTTTTCAAACTTGATTGCATACCTACTTTCTAAACGTGACTACGGACTAAACTCCTTTCGTCACATACTTGACGTGAGCTAAACGCGACGAACGTCAAAAAAAGAATTCACAATTTTTAAATTTTAATTTTTAAATTCGTATTTTAAATAGTGTTGTGCTGTGATTGAACTGTGCGATTCGTTACGGTTTTTTGTTCATCGTAATTAGAATTACGGTTTTTGTTTTAACTCGTGAGTTGTAAAACTGGTATTTTGTGGGTGTTTTGTAAAGTGGATATGTGTTAGTTATTTTTGGATGTGTGCGTTGCAGTGAATTGGTTTATGCATGGTGATGTACTCGCTACTAAATAGTTGGTTACTGTTTAAAAGCTAAATAAATGGAAGGTAATTTATATATAATTCTTACGTTACTAAAGGCTCAGAGACGTACAATAGACAATTGTGACTCATAGGAACCTAGGAGGCCTTCTTATTTTTAAGGGAGAGTGATAGGACGCCAAACGAGCAAGTGGATTACCTGATGATAAGCAATCAGCGCCGCCCATGGACACACGCAACAACAAAGGAGTTACGAGTGCGTCGCCGACCTTTTGGGATTAGGGGTTGGGGGAGGGGAAGTATTGGGCCTCCGGTAACCGCTCACACAGCTAAAAACAACGCTGTAATTGTTTCACCCTGGTTTTCTTTGAGGCCGTGGTAGCACTCCGGTCGAGCCGACCCATTCGTGCCGGAGCATGGCTCTCCCATACTTAATGTCTTTTAAGTTTTGTATGTATTTTCATGTCCTGGATGGGTCGAGAGGACTCTTAGTAAACTCTTAGAGGAGTCTCTTAGTAAACTTAAAACCACTTCATTACTTTCTCCGGGCCGGGGCTGCTGTACATTATTGAGTTTGCACTCACAATTCTGGGACATCATGAGGCTGATCGGGTCTGGTTTCTAGTCGGGCGGTGAGCTACCCTTGCTCGCTCTCCGCAGAAATAACCAGAGATCGTATAGCCTCCATAGGTAACTTTGTTTTAAGAAGGAACATCATCAAAATTACTCCTCTATCCCTGAGGAAGCGAGTGGAAGTATCAGGCGCCAACTGACTGACAGCCACACTGTTCCTTCTCCTGCTGTAGCTCAGGGCTTCGGAACATTACATTATTGCGCTTGCGTCTACAACTTCGGCTGCAAATCGACCCTATAGGGCCCCATCTGTGATGTTGTAATAGCTTTCTTGAGTACTTAATGTAGGGGAAAAAAATTGGGTCTTTTTAGTATATTAGTATAGACGTGAGCGCCTATTTTTTTTTCTCAGTAATTACTTACAATAAAAACGGCCCTATAATAACCGGAAAACACCACAACGATAAGTGAACAACCTCTAATGTTTAGTTTAGATGTATAAATGTATTATTTATCTTTCATAAGAGTTGGGATTTGGTTTATTATATTGTTTTTGAGAGGGCAAAATCGTTAATGACTTTTCCGGCTTTCTGTGGCGACCATGGTCACCCAAGGCATTTTTTGTTTATATATAAACTGGTCCTTTTTTGTCAGGGTAAAATCATCCAATGACTTCTTCCGCCCAGAGTAAGACGAGAAAGAGTGTCAGACTCTTACTGACTAAAAACCCGTCCGTTCCTTCTCCTGCTCTGGGCCGAGGTCGCGTTGCCTCGTTGCGCTTACCCCGCAGCCCCGGCTATAAACTGGCCCTGAAGTTCTAAGATTAAAGGTTGAACTTCTAATCATAAAACATCAATCATTATCAGTCGAAAGACATCCAATGCTGGACAAAGGCCTCCCCCTTAGTCCTTCACGTCGACATCGAACTACAATTCGCCACTTGCACCCATTGGCTCCTTGCGACTCTGACAATGTCGTCGGTCCACCTAGCGGGAGGCCTGCTCACACCACGTTGTCCGGTCCTTGGTCGCCTCCAGTACTTTTCGGGCCCATCGGCTGCCCTCCCTTCGTGCGACGTGGCCTGCCCATTGCCACTTTAACCTGCAGATTTTACGAGCTATGTCGGTGAGTTTGGTTCTTTGCCGAATTTCCACATTTTGGATTTTATCGAAAAGAGTACCCGAGCATAGCCCGTTCAATAGCGCGCTGAGCGACTCGGAGTTTTTCTAAAATTATAAAATTCTAGCTACAATCACGCGATTTCACCCGCTGCTCGGCTCCATTTAATCCTATTGTGATGTTTTATAGCCTATAGCACTCAGGAACATTGTAGCTATCTATCAGTGGAAGTATTTTGGCAATACGACCAGCGGTTCTAAAGATTACCCCCTACATACAAACTTACAAATACCTCTTAGAATAGATTGTAACAAAATTGACTTTTTTATACTTATTATAGTGCCATGGTTGACTACAGTATTGTTATCGCATATTCACGAATACGGATTTCTTTGTCCAGCCGTGAAAGATCGTGAAATCGTTGGCGATAAGAATAAACAGCTACGTACTTTTGTGTTATTTTGAAATGTATTACAAAGTTATTTAATTGTGTGCTGTTGTTATGTGGCCGTCGATTTTCCTCTGATTTTGCCTTGGACGCGTCCTAAATTCAGATTTATTAAGTTTTAATAAGAAAATGAGATGGATGGGTATAAAGTTAATTGTACACCAATTATTATCTAAATCGTACTGTCACTGATATTATGGGGCAATGTGACTTTCAAAGTTTATCTAGGCAACCCTGGGTGAAGGAGTGACCTTCAAACCATCAAGAAACGAGCGTACTCCTTCTTAAAAGGCCGGCAACGCGCCTGTAACTCCTCTGGTGTTGCAGACGTCCATGGGCGACGCCGATGGCTTACCATCAGGTGATCCGTCTGCTCGTTTGCCTCCTATTCCATAAAAAAATGGAAAATTTAGCGAAAAATCCTGTATGACTATTGTGTTGTAGTTAAGTCTCAAATCGCCAATCTGCCTTGAGCAAACGTTGTAAATGAACGCTCAAATCTTCTCCGTGTGAGAAGAGGGATTTGATAGGCAGTGGGCATTTATACTTAGGCTGATGATGATCTCGCATTTACTCATTCATTAAATTTAATTGAATAAAAGAATTTATGAACCAGCTAGGTGTGCTTTATGGGTGTGCGAATATTTTGTTTTTTGTTTTTTAGCGTTGCCCCACACTAGGATTTTCTCCTGTGTCGTGGGTGCGGTTACAAACATACAATTTGATATACACATGACACCCGGACTTTGTGGATCTCACAAAAAGTTGTTCCGTGCGGGAATCGATCCCGCGACACGTTGCACGGCAGCCAGTTGCCTAGCCACCGCACCAACCAGTCTATCTAGAAATTGATTGATTTTATCACAATTTATTTTACTTATTCAAATGTTCGTGAATTTATTTTAAGTATTAAATACACAATAATACTTTTACCAATCGACCAAAGAAACTCATATTCAATAGATTCGAAGCCGTAGAACGAACGATTCAAAAATCTTTAATATCGAGTTTATTTGAACGCATTAGGGGTCTTGTGCAAACATCCTTTCCTTGCCCCTATCAGACCCCTATAATCCAAGGGAATGGTCCAATATCGACAAGGGTATAGTCTACACTTCTACAGATAGTATATTAGATAATACAAATCTTAATATATTTTTCTGTCCCTGTTAAAATACTCTAAAGTATGGCACAGACAAGCTTCGGCACGAATGGGTCAGCACGACCGGAGTGATACCACGGCCTCAGAGAAAACTAGTGGGAAACAACCAGTGTTGATTTTCGCCGCGTGAGTGAGGTTACCGAAGACCCAATCTTTCCCATCCTTTCCTAATCTTAATCCCCACAGGTCAGCAACGCACGTAACAATAACCAAAACTCGTCGCTTGATTTTCGTTAAAAGACTTCTTTTTGTCGCGTTTGCTTTGCTTCAGTAACTCGTATAGCGCTTAAGGAATCTCCTTTTCCCTGTCTAGCGATGTTTGGTTTATTTACAATAAAAATTACAGGAAAACTTACTGATATTTTAACAAAGATCGTTCAGATCTTGAAAAACTCTATCATTATGTAAGTTACTATCCTTTTTTTTTGTGAGAGGAAAATCATCAAATTACTTCTCTCGCCCAGGGCCGGGCGAGAGGGAGTGTCAGACTCTTACTGACTAAAAACCCCCTGTTCTCTCTCCTACTCTGAGACGAGGTCGCGGTGCCTCATTGCGCTTACCCCGCAACCCTGACTGAATGTAAGTTAGTACCCTGAACTTAAATATGTGTAATTTGGTGAACAACAAAATGAAACATCACAAGTGTATTTGTGTCAAGTATTTAATAATAGTATAAAGTTTTTATTCTATTTCAATTACATTTCTGATTTGTAATCAACAAACTATGTCAATTCAAAAAATATTTATGCAGAAAACTCAAATGAATAGCAAAACATTAACTTAAAAGAAAAATACAGAGGCAAAACAGAAACTTAACAATATGGGGTCATTTAGAGTATAAAAAATTTGCTAACAGGGGTGATTCAGAGAAAAACAACTAAACTATTAAAGGTTAAGACCCCCGTCAGCTTATGAAGCGAACATTATGTGTGATTTAGTACCCTGCTGATAGCATTTGAAGATTTCGAAAACAGTGTCCACAGCGTCTTTACCAGTCTTTGATTTGCAGGAGTCAAGTAATTTCTCTGCCTCAGATTTGTCCACGCCAGATGGCAGTTTCGCAATAGCTACATCTCTATTTAAAATACCATCTTCTCCAACAATACCAATCTTCTTGAAGAAGCAGTACGTGAAAGCTTTGAATGCGGGGTCTTCGCTAATGATCCCTTTCTTAGCTTCTTCTAGAAGTTCGTTTTTGACGCCCGTTTCCTTGATGCATTCGCTCGCGAGTTTGTTACCCTTTTCCTGAAATGAAATTGTGGATTTTTAGTATTTAATATGTCAACCAACAAGTGACAGTTTCCGTGGTCGTGGTCGTGGTAGGCCGGAGGTTAGGTAGATAGGTTCTCATGCATGTTGGAAACCTTGCAACTACCAATGTAACTGTTTCCGAATTATTTGTACTTTCTATGACTATCTAGACACCATTGACAAACGGTGAAGGAAAACATCGTGAGGAGACCTGGACTTATATAATTTTTCTAATTACAAGTTTGAAAACGCCAATCCGCCTTGAGCAAGCGTTGTGATTAATGCTCAAAACTTCTCCGTGTGAGAAGAGGCTTTTTCTCAGCAGTGGCCACTTATAGGCTGATGATGATGATGTCAACCAATCCCAAATTCCTACTCTGTATAATTCTGGCGACGCACTTGCAATTTTTCCGGTGTCTAAGAAAAGCGCTGATTGCTTACCATCAGGTGATCTTTATGCTCGTTTACTGACCTTCCTTCATGGGATTATGTGTTAAATGTTATAATAAAATCCCAACTGAAATACAAAATCTTAATGAAAGTAAATTTAAATTATGTATAAAGAAAGTATTATGTAGGAAAGCATACTACAAACTAAATGATTATATAGAAGATAAAAATGCTTGGAGGGTGGCTGGTTTGACTGCACAGGATAAAAATTGTTAAGGTTAAGAGGAATTTTGATCTCAATTATTAAATTATTCACCATGTTGTTGATTGTTGATAAACTGGATTTTTGTAAATGTGAGAGCCCTGTAACTTATTATAATTGAGTTAGACTTATAGACTTATAGTATATTGGTACTTGTGTCAGTTGGGAGTTGTCATGCTCACTCAGGAGTCTCATTGGCGGTGGCACGGGCACTGGACCGCTCGGTTCCCTATAATATGGTTGAGTTGGGCGGTGCTGGTGTACGTGTCATGTTCGTGAACGGACGCCGCCTATTGGGACTGGTCAACTCGAGACTGTCTAAAGTTGCTGTCCCTGAGGGTTATTTCTTTTTCGGATACTTTGGTTAAACACTAGTGTTACACTGTTCTCACATAATGGAGCTATCTAAATTATGTAACAATGTATTGTAAAAAGTGATTGAAAAAGAGTAACCATGGAGTTTCTTGCTCGTTCTTCTCCATAGGAATCTACACTTTGGAACGAGCAAATAGCTTCACTAGAGGACAGACGGACAGACTGACACATAAAGTTAAACCTTATGATATCTTTTTTGCTTGACGTTCAAAAGTGCCTTTTTTGGTCTATTTGAAATAAAGAATTTGATTTGATTTGATTTGACCTATACCATAATAAACCATCCGATATGGTGGGTAGGATATGTGGTGTAATTTTATGTTATACAAGCTATTACCACGCGGTTTCACTCGTAACTCGGCTACTATTGATCGTGATCTTTTGTAGCTTTCTTCGATGAATGGACTATCCGACACAAAAATAATAATTCGATTCGAACCAGGAGTTCCAGAGATTAGCGCGTTCAAATAAACTTTTGAGTGTTATAATGTACTAGAGGTCCGCTCGCTCACGGACAAAGGGTTGTTATTTCCCAATTTTACTTTATACCTTTTTTGGTTTTCTTCCATTAGAAGAAAGGCATATATGCCTTCTCCCACCCAGGTTTAGCAGAGATGGAGTGTCAAACACTCACTGAATAAAAACTACCCCGTTCCTTCTCCCGTGGCCTGTGGTGGCCTAATAGCTTATTGAGCTGAACGCACAACGCTTCGCGCCCTATGTTCGGGTCTGTTGCTGGTCGGACGGCGAGCGGCGCGCCGTTCGCCGCCCGCGCTTACGACTATAGGATATCGTCATTCATTTTCATTAAATAAATAGACATATAGAGCCAAGCTTTGGCGCGAATGGGTCGGCTCGACCGGATTGATACCACGGCCTCACAGAATACCGGCGTGAAACAACCCAGCCTTGTGTTTCGCCGTGTGAGTGAGGTTACCGGAGGCCCAATCCCTTCCCTTCCCCTATCCCTTTCCGATCCTTTTATCCGCAACCCGTATCCCCAAAAGGCCGGCAACGCATTCGTAACTCATTTGGTGTTGCGGGTGTTCATGGGCGGCGCCGATTGCTTACTATCAGTTAATCCGTCTGCTCGTTTGCCGACTTATACCGTAAAAAAATACAATTATATGCTACCGTCCACATTTTATTACTCATAAACACTTTATTACTATATTTTTACTATCCCATTATTTTCTATTGTTCATTCTTCGTACGAATGCGGTTTTAGTTTATGGTTTTAAATGTCTGTGCTACGAGTATTCGTCGCCTAACCACAATTTGAAATGACAAGGTATGCTAATATTGGAGACGTTTTGACACATATACATTCACAAATCACAATGATCAAGTTCAACAATAAATTACCATCAATGTGTTTTTTTATGGTAGGAAAGGGGGGTTTCTAGTCAATAGGAGTCTAGTACTACCTCCTCCCCCTGGGCAAGAAAACCCATCTACAGTAAATTGAATAACTAACAAGAAAATAATTATTTAATTCGAACCAGTCGTTCCGGAGTTTTGCTCGTTCAAACAAACAATCAAAATTTTGAGCTTTATAATGTACTAGCTACTCTTGTGCGGTTTCACCCTCTGCTCGGCACCATTTGATTGTAGCGTGATGTTTCATAGCCTATAGCACTCAGGAACATTGTAGCTATCTATCAGTGAAAGAATTTTGGCAATCCGACAAGCGGTTCCAAAGATTACCTTCTACGTACAAACTTACAAATTTTACCTCTTTATAATATTAGTATAGACTAGCAACCCGTCCTGGCTTCGTATCTCATTCATAAATTTCTTTACTATTAAATGGATGTTCATCATTATCATCATCATCAGCCTATAAGTGCCCACTGCTGAGCAAAGGCTTCTTCTCATACGGAGAAGGTTAGAGCATTAATCACCACGCTTGCTCAATGCAGGTTGGCGATTTCAAACTTATAATTAGAAATTATAAGTATATAAATAATTAGAAATTATAAGTCCAGGTTTCCTCACGATGTTTACCTTCACCGTATGTCAGTGGCGTCTAATTAATCATAGAAAGTACATATAACTCGGAAAAAGTCACATTGGTACTTGCCAGTTTGAACCCACACCCTCATGTATGAGAAGTGGGCTGCTTATCCTCCGGCCCACCACGAACGTGGAATGAATCAATTAACAATCGACGAAATGGATGTTATAATACATATAAAAGTAACTCTTTAATCACTCGTCTATTTATCAAATAATCAAAATCCGTTGTGTAGTTTTAAAGATTTAAGCGTACATAGGGATATAGGGACAGAAAAAAGCGACTTTGTATTGTTGTTATACTGTGCAGTGAAGTATAAATTTTCATTAAATAATCACGAAAATCTACTTATCTTGTGGAGTAAGAAAAGCTAGCCACCATTTTTATCCCCTATCTTTATACCTAATCATTTATAATCTTATCTCAGTCCTACCAAATTAAAGTGTTGTAAAGAATTTTGATTTTTTTTAAACAAATGTACTTTACATTTGTTTAAAAAAAAATCAAAATTCTATATATCAAATTTGAGGTAGGAATCATCATCTACTAACTTTTCCCGCCCTGGAAACGAAGCCTTGAGCTGGAGAAGGAACGAGTTGTGTTTATCTGTAAGCATTTGAAATTCCCTCTAGCCTATCCCAGAATGAAAGAAATCGACTGTTAATTTGCCCCTTCAAACATTATAAATAAACTAGCTTTTGCCCCCGACCTCGTTCGCGTGGAATAGTGACTTCCTGAAGATTTTTGATATAAAAACTATCCTATGTCCTTTCTCGAGTTCCAAACTATGTCTGTTCCAAATTTCACAGAAATCGGTTCAGTAGTTTAGGCGTGAAGACAAGACAGACAGACAGAGTTACTTTTCAATTTATAATATTAGTTTGGACTAGCGGACCCTCATCAAAAACCCTCCGTTTTTGGGGAAGGTCCGCTAACATATACATATCGAATTTCAGCGAAATCGTTAGGACCGTTTCCGAGATCACACGATTTTTCAAGCAATCAGCGCCATATTTGTGAATCAAAACTATCCAGGGTACTATTCAGACGCATACAGAAAAAAAATCATTTAAATCGATCAAGCCGTTTAGGAGGAGTTCAATGACATACACACATACAGCAGAATTGTATATAGAAAGATAATAAAAATTTGATATACTCACATTAGCACAAACCCCTACCACCAACACGATACAGAATACCACTAATGATTTCATCTTAGCTTAGCACGGAGAGTACTGTTCAATATTAAAATGTCACCTCATTTATATACTCAACGAAGTTCAAGACTAATATACAAGTACATATAGTTATGTCGAACTTGCTCACGAAGTGATCTTGGTGTAAAAACTAGTTAGAACTAATCTAAGCGAGCGGATTGAGGGTTCTGTATTAATTTATTAGTCATCCCCGGCTCTGAGTAGGTAGGTTCTGAGTGGTTTAGTCAGTAAGAGTTTTGTTTTTTGTGAGGGGAAATCATCAAATGACTTCTCCCGCCCAGGGCCGGGCGGGATGGAGTGTCAGACTCTTACTGACCAAAAACCCCCCCCTGTTCCTTCTCCTGCTCTGGGCCGAGGTCGCGGTGCCTCATTGCGCTTACCCCGCAACCCCGGCTGAACATCAGCACTATAAGGCCCCGTCTGTGGTGGTCTATTGGCTCTTTGAGGCGCGCGCGGAACGCTACGCGCCGTACGCTCGGGCCTGGTTCTGGTCGGGCGGCGAGCTGCCCTTACTCGCCGACCGCAGACCCGCGCTTACGGTGGCCGGAGATCATCTCTCGAGTCAGTAAGAGTTTGACTTTCTATCTCCCCCCTCTTAGAGCGGGATGAATATTGAACGATTTTTCCTCCTTTAAAAAAGCATATGCATGATAAAAACTATAATTATTTAATTTGATATTATGCCATTTTCTAGTAGCCGCAACGAAAAGTTGTTAGAGAAAAGAAAGTTCTCCTGTGTCGTGCGTGCGTAGCGAGTGAAACCGCGTGCGAGTAGCTAGTTTTTAATAAATGTAAATGTCTCCACGCCGCCGTAAGGTCCATAGCAACACATTATATTTGTAATTATTATCCTACGGAACTCTAAGAATTGAATATAGGTAAGAATAGTCCAATTTTTTTGTTTTTTTAGTCATAAGGAAAAAGTATAAGGCTACTTATCACGCTTCGCATACCAGTATAATTTAACCGTGGCATATTTGGAAAGATGATACGGAGCGAGACCAAGAAAAACTGGCCGGTGTGACTAGTAAATATTATGTACATATGTCCAATTTGACGTTCAAAGTTCCCCGACTTTTTTAAGATATATTTACATTGGTTTGTTTGTTCTATATTAATATTTATAGCTAGTTGTTTTCTCAGAGACTAGCTACTCTAGCGCGGTTTCACCCGCTGCTCCATTTGCCGTGCAACCATTGTAGCGTGATGTTTTATAGCCTATAGCACTCGGGAACATTGTAGCTATCTATTAGTCAAAGAATTTTGGCAATCCGACCAGCTGTTCCAAATATTACCCCCTACATACAAACTTACAAATTTTACCTCTTTATAATATTAGTATAGATTAGTTTGATTATCTATATTCGGAAATTTAATAATGTGTGCTCTTTCTCAGTAAAAATTTTGCTCCTAGATAAATATTTTTTTGTTGTAATGTGAATATTTTTAACACTCGAAATTAATTAAAAAACAATCCTTAATTTTTTTTGTGATGGAACGACAACCGAGCATTCGGATTACCTGATGGTAAGCAATCAGCGCAATCCATGGAGACTCGCAATAACAGAGGAGCTACGGGCGCGTTGCTGACCTAAGCTAAGGATAGTAAAGGTTTCGGGTATTTAAGGATTGGGGGAGGGGGAGAGATTGTGCCTCCGGTAACCTCACTCACACGGCGAAACACATTGCTGTGGTTGTTTCACGCCGGTTTCCTATGAGGCCGTGGTATCACTCCGGTCGAGCCGACCCATTCGTGCCGAAGCATGGCTCTCACACTTGTCCCTATTGAGTACTAAGATTTGTGGAAAAACTTAGACATACTAATAATACGTGGCTCAACCCAAGGTTTGAACATTATTCACTACGCTGTCGATCAGATCCAGGTTTCCTTACGATGTTTGCCCTCAGCGTATGTCAGTGGTGTCTAAATATAATCATAGAAAGTACATACCTATACATAGCTCGGAAAAAGTAATGTTTTTACTTCCCAGGTCTTGGATTCGCACCCTCATGCATGAGAAGCGGGTGCTTTAACCTCAAGGCCACCATAACACATCATAACTTGAAATAATGACGTTACGAGAGTTAGTTACTTTCTAGGTCTTCTGAAGAATTCCATTAGTCTTTCAGAAGACCAGCCCAAAAAAACCGATCATTATATAACCACCTATATTTTATAATAACTATCATCTACTTATTATTAACAGATGCTAATTGCAAATAAATTAATCTGAAGAATCAAGTTGCGTAACAGACGAACAAAAAATATAACCAGTGTATTTATCGCCGGGGGCTAATTTGCATAGATTACTTAATAAGTTCATTACACTGCATTCATTGCTGTCATGCGAATATGGGCAGGGCACATAGCGCGTAGAACCGACGGCCGCTGGGGCAGAAAGGTTCTCGAGTGGAGGTCACGTGCCGGCAAGCGCAGCGTAGGACGTCCACCCGCAAGGTGGACAGACGACCTAATTAAGGTCGCAGGAAGCCGCTGGATGCAGGTCGCTTCCAACCGGCCTATCTGGAATTCAATGGGGGAGACCTATGTTCAGTAGTGGACGTACTGTGGCTGATATGATGATGATGATGCGAATATGTCTCTAGCATTACTGCTAGTCAAGCAAAACGCTTTTTTCTAAGTGTGGGAGAGCCATGCTTCGGCACGAATAAGTCGGCTTGACCGGAGCGATTCCACGGCTTTACAGAAAACCGCCGTGAGACAACCACAGCGTTGTGTTCCGTAGTATAAGTGACGTTAGAGGAGACCCAATCCTTACCCTCCCCCAATCCCTAAATCTCCAAAATCCTAATCCCCAAAAGATCGGCAACGCACTCGTTGTTTTGCGGGTATTCATGGGCGGCGCTAATTGCTTATTGTCAGGTAATCCGTATGCTCGTTTGCCGACTTATCACATAAAAAGTCTTTGTTTTTATCCTTGTATTGTAAGCGGAATTTTGAGCTGTTACCGAGAACTTTGCCTCTAAGCAAACACAAAAAAACTGATGGACTTTAGTCTATACATAGATTTGTAGACTTTGCAAACTCGTTTGTTATACCTAAATGGAAAATTTTAGATTGGTTTTATTTATTTAATACATTCGTTTTGCGGGTCTAATCAAAGACCAAACGTCTAGGTTCTAAAAACTTGAAAAAACAAATGAAGGCTAATATTTTTTGACTGCACAGTTGGCGCAGTGGCTGGGCAACTTCGTATGTTGGCGATGATAATATGCTTAGCTACATACTTAACAGTATAGAAATAGACATTATTAGGCAAAACGCAGGTAAAACAACTATATGGTCGAAGTTCAAAAAGTTTTTTTCCCATTTAGGGCTGATATGTGAGAACAGCGTAATAAGATTTTTTTTTTATATTTATAAATATTTATTGCAGTCGATATATTTATTATAATATATTTCCATAATCAAGTATAACTTATGACAATTGGCTGATACCGTATGATTGATCAAGAGACGATCTCCGGCAACCGTAAGCGCGGTTCTGCGGACGGCGAGTAAGGGTAGCTCGCTGCCTGACCAGAACCACCTGAGCGGCGCGTATCGTTCCGCGCGCGCCCCAAAGAGCCAATGTACCACAACAGACGAGGCCCTATAGGGCTGATGCTCAGCCGGGGTAGTGGGGCAAGCGTAATGAGGCACCGCGGCCTCGGCCCTGAGCAGGAGAAGGAAAGGGGAGTTTTTAGTTTTTAGACAGTTAGAGTCTGACACTCTCTCTCGCCTTACCCTGGGCGGGAGAGGTAATTTGATGACTTTACCCTGACAAAAAAAAACCGTATGATTGATTGATATAATTGCGCCATTATTCCACAAAATTAGTGGTACAAGTAAACAGCATCCTCAATGCTCGGCAACGCATTTGCAACGCATTTTTTTTTTAGTGTCGGGTTGGAAAATCCTCATGGAGACCCACCGCCCTCGGGGAAGGGCGAAGGGTACTGTCAGACTCTTACTGACTAAAAACCAACCCGGTGTTCCTCCAATTACCCTTGCGTCGGAGGGGCGGGTATCGCCGAAGCATTCGTCGCATCCCCCCGACGGGTATTAGCCCACCAGAACCAACTTAGGCTGCAGTGTCCTCTTACCATCTAATTTAAATGTATCCCAACTATTATAAAAAGCTAGTACATATGTTTACATTTATTTCTTAACTAAGTGTAATAACCATGACCGTGTTTCACAAAGGAAGTCTAGATCTAAACTAGTAAATTTGCCGGTCAACTAGAATACTAGAAAATACCTTATTTGCTATGTATTACCTAGTTCTTATTAGAATATCGAGGTGAACCAACTGGCTAGTTTGTTTATAAACTTTTTTCCTTATTGTTTGAAAGGCTAGTTCGTTTTTCTAGCAGCTTCGGCACGAATGTGACACCACGGCCTCACAGACAAACCGGCGTGAAACAACCACAGCGTCGTGTTTCGCCGTGTGAGTGAGGTTACCTGAGGCCCTCTCTCCATCCTTTCCAAATTCTTAAATATCAGAAACCCTTATCTCCAACTCATAAAAAAGTGTTAGGTAAAAGTCAGAGATCACTTGCGAGTTATGAGTCAAGCTCAATTACAAATCGCGGTTCGGCTCCGAAGTGGAGATGGAGCAGTGTGCAGTGTACAGTTAGTAAGAGTCCGACTCTCTCTTCCTTCAACCAGGGCTCTAGGAATCATGGAATGATTTTAGTCCTTGAAACCGTACGGAGAAGGAATGAGCATCTATAACTTGCTTAAAATGGATAAGCTATTTCTAAGCTTAGTAAAAATTGAATTAGTCACACCCGGTTTCTGAAAGGCTTGTCAACGCTAAAATACGTTAGTTTCCAACTAGTCAAATTCAATACTTTTATCCAAATGTCAAAAACTATACTTTTCTATGAAATTTGTATGAAAAACTGAGGTATGACGTCATAACATTTTTGCGTCAAATAACTTACTTATTTCTGAATAATAAGCAAAAAAAAATCTACAACTTAGTGTATAGATCGATCGATGAATAAAAGTATAGTTATTTTTCAATATTTATTGTTTTAAAACGTCGAATTAATTTATTTTTGACCCAGGACACTACCCAATTAACTAATCTCCTGTTAAATCTCTTGTCAAGTTATCTGATTGGTTGTTGATAATTCAGTCAACCAATCAGATGACTTGACAAGATATTAAATTGATTTTAACATTGATCGGCCTTTCGGAAACCGGGTGTCAGTCTCGGTTTCCGCATGATTTTTGCCTTTGGCGTATACTTACATACATGTAAGTAGCTTCGAAATTACTCGTCAGTTTTTGTCGTACCCTTATCCTTAAGGAGTGGTTGCTTTAACCGTTGTGCCACTACGACACAGTACACTGGTATACAACTAATGTTAAAATAGCCTTACTATCAATCAGCTAGCCCTTTGATCGCAGTACAATTTGAACAGCTGTTTATTGACGATTCTGATTAGATTTATGTGCGGTTCATAGTTCTAACTTAACCTAATCTGAAATCCCTTCACCCTTCAACTTTAAATGGCAAAAATTTTGCCATTCAATCAATCGATCAGTCATTCAGGCCGTTGGTTGGATGACTTATGTATGTCTGTATATGGAATGTGTACTTTTTTTTATGTCATGGGTCGGCAAACGAGCAGACGGATTACCTGATGGTAAGCTACAGCGCCGCCCATGGACACTCGCAATGGAGGAGTTACGAGTGCGTTGCCGACCTTTTAGGGATTAGGGATTTGGAGATTTAGGGATTGGAGGAGGGGAAGGATTGGGCCTCCGGTAACCTCACTCACACGGCGAAACACAACGTTGTGGTTATTTCACGCCGGTTTTCTGTGAGGCCGTGGTATCACTCCGGTCGAGCCGACCCATTCGTGCCGAAGCACGGCTCTCCCACACTTTGCCTTTACGACATATGTATATGACATGTACGACATATTAATACTATGTAACATAATAATTACAAAAAATAATGTAGTATAATATGGTAACTAACGTTTTCCCATACTACTCACCCCGCTACTTGTGCTACAGTAGCCGGCTATTACGAACAGTTTTCATTGAAGGTCGTCTAGAAATAACTCATCGAATGTAAACTCTAACAAGCAATGTATACGGATTATCTACATTTGGTATTTGTTTAGGTTATTTCAAACGTTTTAATTGGGTCGCTAGGTTATATAAATATTTGTAGTTTGTGTTTCGATTTGGTACACGAGCAGCTCTGATTGTTTTGGCAAACGAGCGGATGAATCACCTGATTGTGATCAATCGATGATGCCCATGGACACTTCATCGTGGAGTTTTTTTTGGTGAGGGGAAAATCATCAAATTACTTCTCCCGCCCAGGGTGGAGCGGTATGGAGTGTCATACTCTTACTGATTAAAACCCCCCCGTTCCTTCTATTGCTCTGAGCTGAGGTCGCGGTGCCTCATGGCGCTTTCCCCGTAACCTCAGCTGACTGAACATCAGCCCTATAGAGGCCTCTATCTAGGTCTATTCTCTCTTTGAGGCGCGCGCAAAACGCTACGCGCAGTACGCTCGGGTCTGGTTCGGGTCGGGCGGCGAGTTACCCTTACACGCCGTCCGCAGACCTGCGCTAAATGGCCGGACATCGTCTCCATTGAGGAGAGGAGAGGAGTACAACTCTTTTTCAGTCAGTTTTACAAACTTTGTATATTCCAATATTAATCAAAGGACTTGCATTATTAAACAACTGTAATAATGCAAGTAGACATTACATCGAATTTACAACAATGTATTACTCCAAGAAATTAATGCAATACAGCAATAATTTATATTTACTGTAACATACAAAAAAAAATCAACTGCAAAAAATAGTATAACATAGATATCGATAGTTTTAATTGGTTTCCGAAAGGCCGATCAATGTTAAAATCAATTTAATCTCTTGTCAAGTCATTTGATTGGTTGACGAATTATCAACAACCAGTCAGATGACTTGACAAGAGATTTAACAGGAGATTAGTTAATTTTAGCGTTGACAAGCCTTTCAGAAACCGGGTGTTAGTCTCTCAGTTCTTTGGTCACTGGTTACAAAAATTTATAGTTTAAACATGAAAGAGCATGGTACATGCATATATACGTAGTGATATCTAGAATAATAACACCATCACCTTAATAGATGAAAAACGGATTAGCATAATAAAAGAGAAGAATAATGAACGAATTGTGAGATGATATGAGAAGGTGTGTTGCAAGGCTGGGTGGAATGAGTGGTGTGTTGCCTTCCATAGTGTCACATAACAACTTACAATAGGCTGTCAACGCTTTTGTTGCAAATCCTTGGGAGTCAGTTCAAACAGCCATACTTATAAACTTTCGCGTTTATAATATTATATGTAGAAAGTTGTACCGTTGTAAGGAATTTTGTACCCTAACTGTGTAGTGTTAATAAATATATTCAAATAATGGAGGCTGTAACTGAAGTGAAGAAATCGAAGGCGTCGAAGAAAAGATACTCCATCATTTCTGGAAGCGATTTTTGTAAGTTGTCCCACCTACTTAAACAGTTCCCTTACGTTTAATGTGGTGTGTAAGATTCCTGGCACCACTCTTAGTTCTCCTGCTTCGGGTCGGAGGCGTGGTACATGACTGCACTTCCACCAGCAACCCCGATTGAACACTTTGCACCCCTGTACAACAGGCTAGGAATTTATTCCGTAGTAAATGTTATATGGTTTTTGTTACGTAAAAAATATTTTAGTCAGTAAGAGCCCGACACTCCTTCTCGCCTTACCCAGGGTGAAAGAAGCCATTTGACTGCTACATGATTTTCCTCCGGTGAAAACGGGGGCTTGATATGTTGGGTTTAATATGTCCTTGAAGGTGGAAAGTAACAAGCAAAAATTGCAACATTGTTATACTCATTTCCAATATCAGCCAAGACTTCACTGCTTGGCATTGGACGTCACGGAATTTAAAAGCGACCTACATCCAGCGGCTTCCTGTTACTTTTGTCCTGGTCGTTATTCATCGTTCAATTACCAATTAAACAAAATGACCTTCATACCCGTCCCTAAATCAACATGGTCTTCCCGAAAGACCTATTATTCTAAAACCTTCTCTGTCTCTTGTTCCAGGGTCTTCATCAGACGAAGATGAGGGTGTCCAGCCCCATGAGAAGGCGATTGCAGCTGGACAGCCAAACCCAGCGTATTGCGTCCGTAATATTGAGCAGCATGCCTTCGGGAGACGGGAGATTGAGATCGCTGAACAGGAGATGCCGGGAATCATGGCTCTTCGAGCGAGGGCTAAGGATGACAAGCCTTTGAAGGATGCTAAGGTTGGTTCTTTAATAACTTATTGTTTTTATGTGCACATTTTAGTGGGTTTTTTATGGATTGTAATGGAGGGTTATCACAAGTAGATAAAATGATTGATAGGGATTTAGGCTAAAAATCAGATAAATTGTCTAATGCGTGCTTGATATAGTTTCCTAAGATCAGCCAGGGAGGATCCTGTGACCAGCTGAGGTATACCTGATGGGCTACTGCTCAACAGATGTACATGGGGATTTGATATCCGTGGTAGTTTTTCCAGCCGCGAAGTAGCATTTATGACGATATTAGTTGATTTTTGAGTATCTATCATTCATATGCCATATAGGCAATCAACACCAAATTGTTAATCCGATGAGGGGAAAATCGGATTTTAAATCAACCTGAGATATGTGTATTTTGCAATTAAAGTCCACTTCGATGTTTTCAGTAATATACTTGTTAGCTCTTTAGGTATTTTCGAGCATTGCTTGAACCCCGCACGCGTAATAATGTTTCGCGTCCCAGGCTCGGAACAGGAGAAGAAACGGGGTGGATTTTAGTCAGCAAGAGTCTGACAAACCTTGCCCTACCCAGGAGAAGTAACTTGACGAGCATTCCGCCTTAAATAAACTTCTTTAGGTATTTACATCCAGTTTACAGTTCTGAAAGCAAGGCTTTTAACTCTACACACATTTGACGCTGAAATCATTTGTTTTCAGCTCGTTTTCTATGTACTTAGTTTGTTTCAGTAAACGACTACTTGAGGTTTTCAGGTCAAGTTTTTAAATTGCGCTGTTTCAGTGCGTCGGGTAGGCAGAAATGGAAATACACCCGTGTGATGTATACTCATATTTAACGAGTTATTTTATAGGGATCTTTGTCATATTAAGTGGATAAGTCTGTTATAATATACATATAAGACGCAAATCAAGATTGCAGACAGAGGGCTTTTTTGAAAATTTTGCAGTAAAGTTCTCGTTCCCATCTTTATTCTTTGTGGGGGGAAGATAGTCATCTGTCTTTACTCGCCAAAAGGGAGGCGAGAGGGAGTGCCAGACTCTTACTGACTAAAAAATTATTAAATTATTTTTAAATAAACAAAAGCCAGAGTAACAACCTCCAAATATAGTTTCAGTCATAAAACGCCTTTGTATTATTTATTTATATATTCTTTATTGCACACAACATTAAAATTTAATACAAAGAGCAGGCTAACAATCACAGAGTGTACAATGGGCGGTCTTATCACTCACTTATTTATCATAATTATTATTTTGCAATGTTTCCTTTTTTTTTGTCAAGCTTAGTTAAATATGTTTTTTTTTTCAAGGATAAGTGCTTACTATTTTTTTTATATCACGTCATTCATTTTGTTTTTTTTATTTCATGTGCGCGCAGATGTGTTTGTTATCCCAACAGTCAGGGGCCATCTGAAAACCAGTGCTGTGCATTAGCACAGCATATACTGAGATGGACCCCTTGCTACATTATATATTTTTATTTTTTGTGTAATGTTTATTTTTTACATTTTCAACTTATGCATGTGTAGCTAAATAAATGGTTTAAAAACCACCGTTCCTTCTGTTGCTTCAGGCAGGCTGTTCAGGCTGCGGTACTTACTACTAAGAGACTGACCTCTGAGTTTGTTTCGGCATTTCTTCTCAGAGTAGTCAGATAGGAATTATATATAACCATAGGCTTCATCTAGATTTTCACATATAAATTGACGTGTCAAAGTGCCGTTTTATGGACTATTTGCAAAAATAAATTCATCGTTTCATTGTTAACATCAGGCCAGTTAGGTCCCGTGTGTTGTTGTCTATTGGCTCTTTGAGGCGTGCGTGGAACACTCCCCATTCCGTCTCCTGCTCCAGCCCGGAGCCACGATTCTTATTGCGCTTGACACGCAACTCCCACTCCACATCAGCCCTGTTTGGCTCCTTCTGTGATGGTCTTTCTGAGGCACGCGTAGATCGCTTACGGACGCTCTGGTCTGGTTCCGATCGGGCGGCGAACCCTTGCTCGATTTCCACGATGAAATTCATGATGTTTTGTCCTTATAGTACCTATGTCAAATGTGTCTTAATATACTTTGATAGTACATATTTTGGAAGAAGTGTACTACACCTCTTTGCCATCAGGACATCTATACTAATATTATAAAGAGGTAAAATTTGTAAGCTTGTAAGTTTGTATGTTTGTAAGTTTGTTTGTAGGGGGTAATCTTTGGAACCACTGGTCGGATTGCCAAAATTCTTTCACTAATAGATAGCCACAATGTTCCTGAGTGCTATAGGCTATAAAACAGCACGCTACGGTTCAATGGAGCCGAGCAGCGGGTGAAACCGCGTAAGAGTAGCTAGTATGGAATATTTTAGGATAAAGAAGGTACATACTTTTGCACTTTCGTATCTGCGTAGTCTGTTGCGATTGGCAGCTTCATCTGAAAACTGTTTTCGTCCGACAGGATGTTATTGTTTTGATGTTTATTTTTGTGACTTATTTAATTTTAATAACTTATTCTTTTTACTCGCGCGTCGGAGCCGTGACCCGGAGGTCATGGCGCTCGCTTCTCATGCAATGGGGTTTCAAAACCTGGCGAGTACCAATGTGACATTTTCCGAGTTCTATATAATAAATACATTTATTTAGATGCCACTGACAAACGTTTAAGGAGAACATCACGAGTAAACTTGAACGTATAAGCATGCCGTTTTACGCTAAAACCTTCTCAATGTAAGAATAGGAATTTTTTCATGGTGATGCGGAAAACCAATGTTTTTAGCTCCATGAAACTCATAATCACCATCAAAAAACAATGTTTCGATTGTTACATGCAACGCCTTGTTGTTAATGCTATAGTGGGTATGTCACTGCAGTCGGGCCGGCTCACCCCACTCCGGCATTCTGGGTTGCGGTTGTCCATGGAAAGCACTGATTGCTTATTTACCATCAGATAATCCGGCTGGCCGTTTGAGCAATCAAAATGTTGTGATGATTACAAAGGGTATTATTATTACCGAAGGCGATGGCTTCCAGTCAAAATTCATTCATTTCATGTGTCGTGTAACGTCGTAGTGGCCCGGAGGTAAAGGCCCCACCTTTTATGCATGAGGGTGCGTGTTTAAAACCAGGCTAGCACCAATGTGGCTTTTTCCGAGTTACATGTACTTTCTATGATTATTTAGATACCCTAATAATTTTACCCACTGATATAATTACGGTGTAGAAAAACACCATGAGGAAACCTGGACTTATAATTTCTAATATTAAATTTATATTTATTATAAAGTTTGAAATCGCCAATCCGCCTTGACCTAGTGTGGTGTTTAATGCTCAAACCTTCTTCGTTTGAGACTTTGCCTTTGCTCAGAAGTGGACAGTTCTGACACAAGTGGCTGATATTACGACTGATGACTTTACTCTTTTCTCCACAGATAGTAGGCTGTACTCACATAAACGCTCAAACAGCAGTGCTGATCGAGACGCTAGCAGCGCTGGGCGCGACCGTGCGCTGGGCTGCCTGTAACATATACAGCACGCAGAATGAAGTGGCAGCCGCGTTGGCGCACGCTGGTGAGAAATCTATACTATTATATTATAAAGCTGTGGAGTGTGTTTGAACTAAATAGGGGGGGGGGGAGTAAATAAGGGTTCGAAATAAACTATTATTTTAGTCAGCTGCACAGCGGATGATACCGCAAGAATAGGAAATATGTGTATAGTTATAATACATTATTTGTTTTTTAAGGGATTTATTTTTATTTGTTTTTTATGGTAGAGGTCAGCAAACGAGGATTAGAGAACCAGAATTATCTGATGTGATTAATTGACGCCGAACTTCAACACCCGCCAGATCAATGAAGTGACGAGTTGCTTTTCCGGCCTTTTAAGGATAAGGGTTTTGGATATTTAAGGATTGGTAAGAAATGAGGGGAAGGATTGGGCCTCCGGTCACCTCACTTACATGGCGAAAGCCAACACTGTGGTTGTTTCACGCCGGTTTTCTTTGAGGCCGTGGTATCATTCCGATCGAGCCGAGCCACCCACACTAAATAACTCTTTGTGTGATCCGCAACTCATTGTTCCTGATCTGGGTGTGATGTGTATGTAAAATTGTATGTTTCTAAACGCTCTAATGACAAACAGTGGGGCAACATTACGCAGAAAACTCCGCTAAAAATACTTAATCAAATCAAATCAAAACTGATTTGCAGGTTATGCAATTTTCGCTTGGCGCGGGGAGAGTGAAGAAGCGTTCTGGTGGTGTATCGACCAGTGCTGCACTCCAACAGCCACGTGGACACCAAACATGATCCTCGATGATGGAGGTGATGCCACCCATCTTATGTTGAAAAAACACGCCGCGGCCTTCAAACACATTAAGGGTAATCTTCCTATTAATTATATTAAGATTTGCTGTTGATCAGGTGACGCTTTTCGTGTCGGTCTACTGGTCTACTCATGGTCTTCTAGTGGTCTTTTTGTCTACTATGTAAGGCTAATAGTATTATTGTAAACTCATTGTCCAATTGTTGTTATTTGTAAAGTGACAGGTATCTGTCACTACAGATACCTGTTTACTTGTCTATGACAGTGGTCATAGACAAGTAAACAGTCTTGTATTTTATTATATAAAAGTGATACCCGACACTAAAGTAATAGTCGACTAATTTAATAGTTATGGTCAGATATCGACCTTAACCGTAACCACTCTGATTTTTGGCGGCAATTCGAACTGTGTTGAACTCAACAATAAGATATATATTTTGGAATAATTATAATTATAACGTAGAATATTCAAGTATTCATTGTTTTATTTCTGAGTTGAGATCTAGTTATTACAACTCAGAAGTGGGATTATTACAAAACGCCCACGAGTAATATAAGGAAATAAATACGCCAAAGAATTTTAAAATACAATCACCCAAGTTTTGAAAAAAAAATCTTGAAATGGACCGTGACCACGGTGTATCCCGAAGAAGTCGGTCTCATTTACGTACACCTATTATGAGTGAGAAACGCAAGCGTCGCTACGATGATGAAGCAAGTAAAAACTACTTGAGTGAGAAGAAGCGTCGTAGGCAGCAAAGAAGTACGCCTAGCGGTTCAAGTGACCAGGGGAGGACGAGTCGATCTCGAACACGGACTGATAAACGGCGTCGGCGAAACCGGAAACGTAGCTGTGAAGCTGAGCGTCGTTCGCGCCGAAGCCTAACGATGGAGTGGAGTGAGAGTGAACAGGACGAGAGGAATAGATCCCGAACACGAGCTGGTGGTCGTCATCGGCGAACTCGGAATCGTAGCTGCGAGGCTGAGCGTCGTTCACGCCGAAGTCCGATAAAGAAACGGAGCGAGCAGAGGCGTACCAGTACCCGGAGGCGGCTATCCAACCGAAGCAGTTCATCGAACACCGTAGTAAGTAATGCATCACGCGAAAATACCCAGGTAAGCAAATCTATGTTTGCTAACAGCGAGACTCAGTTATTTTTGAACGAGTTGTTAAAATCTTTGTCAGCCGCGAAACCAGAAGGGAATAAATTTCCAATGCTGGGTAATGTCATTCCTGAGTTCGACCCCATGATCAAAGGCCAGACGGTCCACATGTGGCTCAACAAGGTCGACGAATGTGCGAAGCTATACCGTTGGGGTGATGACCAGATTATTCACTACGCGCTGCCCAGACTTGCGGGGGTGGCTCGTACGTGGTACCAAGCATTGCCTTCAATGTCATTTTCGTGGCTTGAGTGGAAAAGTAAATTAATTGATTCCTTTCCTAGTAGTGATGATTACGCAGAACTTCTTACTGAAATGTTGAATAAACGCGTGAAATACAATGAATCGCTAGAATTATATTATTACGAAAAATTAAACCTACTGAATCGATGCGAGGTTTTCGGGAAACGTGCCGTTGATTGCCTGCTGTATGGCATTGAGGATCGTTCCTTAAGACTTGGTGCTAAAGCAGCGAAATGTCAAGAACCTGAAGAGGTTCTTAATTACTTTCAATCCATTAAACAAAGTCGCGATTATGACAAGTCTAAAATTGGCCAAGATAAAAATACCTACCATATATCATCAGTAAATTCAAACTTTATCACTAAACAATCAGTTGGAAATGACTCCAAGACGTCTAAACCACCATCTAGTACGTCAATGACATGTTTTAACTGTAAAGAAGTAGGTCATTTCAGTGTTAAGTGCCCACAAAAGTTACGCAGATGTAACATTTGTAAGAGGATTGGTCATGTAACAATTGATTGCCCGCAACTGTCTAATGAAAAGAGTAAGGATATTAGTACAGAAAAAAAAGGTCATGAAAGTCGATGTTAAAGATGCTAGTAATGACAAATGTATGATTTAATTAAAGATTAATGATATTTTAGTTAGAAGATACGTAGATTTAGGCAGTCAGTGCACATCGATACAATGTAGCTTAGCAAAATCATAAGGAGTTACTTGGTCAGTAGACAAGTTATCAGTTACGAGGGGATTGGGTAATATATAGTTGTTCCAATGGGAAGGCAATATGAGAATGAAAATCAGTAACATCGTAGAGACGGTCGACGTTTACATAGTTGAAGATGGTATTATTAAATAACGTGTGGTTGTTGGTCACAGCTTTACTGAAAAACTTAGTATCATTATCTCAAAAACCTCAGATTCTTAATCTTTAGCAAAAAGCGATTAACAAATGCGGTTTTTTTTTAAGACGTATGTTGAATTTAACCAAAACAAAAGCCTGTGGTTCCTGTCTTTTGGGACAGAAGCTGCTTTGGGTCTATTTATGCCATGGGTTTATTAAGAATACAGCCTGGTAAAGAATTTTACTTATTACCTGATAAATATATTTTTTTAAATAGTTTAGGAGCACTTCTAGTCCTAAATTTTAGTGACCATTCACTTTTGCTAAGTAAAACCACATTAGTTAGTCGAGCTTTCAGTTTCGGAAAAGGTTTTGAGATCAACATGCTAGATATTAGCAAAAACGACATGAGTTCCGATCTCAATTTTATTATGGTAGTGACAATGAGATATTGAGATTGAAATCATCGACGATCGACGGCCACCTAGATAGATTGTCGGTCAAATCTCTTTTCATCAGTCTTGATCTTCCATCTGGTTACTACCAAATCCCTATAGCAAAGGATCCACAAGAGGCAACGGCTTTTGACACACCTGACAGTCAATACCATAAAGGAATACCTTTTTGGGTTAGCTAATGCCCCATCAATTTTTCAAAGAGTTATGAACAAAGTTTTCTCTGATTAAAATACGTTGTCATTTACATAGATGATATCCGGATTTCCGCTAGGACTTTTAACAATGGCTTATTGGAACGTTTCGAAGAAGTTCTCCAGCATTTAGCTAATGCAAGGCTTACACTTAAAGAAGTGCCATTTCTTCTAAAGGGAGATAGATTTTTCAGTTTTGTGTGTCTAGAGATGGCATACGACCCGGATCTCGTAAAACAGATGCAAATTTTCTGTACCCAATCACTTACATGAGGTGAGACGTTTTATAGGACTTGCTAGTGTCTTTGGAGGATTGCGCGATGGTAGGTTCAGCTGCTGGAGTACGACTGTACTATTGACTAGGGCAGGCGCACGTATGGCTCATGTGAATGCTCTGAGTCGTGCTCCGGTAACTAAAGACACTGACGTTACTGATACACACGTGATGACGTATTGCAAATAAAGGCAACCGATTGGATTGCAACTATACATAGCAACGACGAAGAGATAAAGCGAATTCGAGAAATTCTTTCTCTTCGATTTACAAAGAAAAATGTATCATCTTGCTTACAATGTGAACATCATAAAGTTCCATCAGGTCAAAAGGAAGGGTTATTACACCCTAGTCCAAAGATAGAAATCCCGTTTCATACATTGTATGTGGATCATCTCGGCTTATTTATTCGTTCTAGAAGGAGCAGCATGTATATTTTAGTAATTGTAGACGCGTTTACAAAATTTGTTTAATATACGTGCAGTAAAACAAATTTCGAAAACTTCAACTGCAATCAAAGTAAATCTAAAAAGCTTATACCAAAAAAAGCTCATACCAAAATTTCAAAGCCCGTACTGAATTGTAAAAAAAATACCGAATGATAGGTTCGTAGTCGAAGACACCCCACTGACTAGGAAAGGAAACAAACATTACGAAACTATAATAGCAATTGATAAGATTCATATTTGGCAAAATTTTAACGAATATTCTAGTGGTGATGATAACGAGACGGATAGTAATGAAAGTGAAAATGACAAAAAGTAATGAAATAATGCCATTGAATTGAATAAACAATGTATGTTTTATTTATAGTACTTTAACTACTTGTTACGTTAGTATATATTATTTTAAGAAATGTTTCATAATGTATCTACCGGCTATCAACGATCAGTACAGAAACGAATGGTATCAAGTTATTGGTATCGTACAGATGATTGTTGACCATAGCAGATCGTGCAAGTGTTTGTTTATGATAGATTTATTGTGAGCACCGGCTATCAACGATCAGTACAGAAACGAATGGTATCAAATTATTGGTATCGTACAGATGATTGTTGACAATAGCAGATCGTGCAAGATGTTTGTTTATGATAGATTTATTGTGAGCACCGGCTATCAACGATCAGTACAGAAACGAATGGTATCAAGTTATTGGTATCGTACAGATGATTGTTGACCATAGCAGATCGTGCAAGTGTTTGTTTATGATAGATTTATTGTGAGCACCGGCTATCAACGATCAGTACAGAAACGAATGGTATCAAGTTATTGGTATCGTACAGATGATTGTTGACCATAGCAGATCGTGCAAGTGTTTGTTTATGATAGATTTATTGTGAGCACCGGCTATTAACGATCAGTACAGAAACGAATGGTATCAAATTATTGGTATCGTACAGATGATTGTTGACAATAGCAGATCGTGCAAGATGTTTGTTTATGATAGATTTATTGTGAGCACCGGCTATCAACGATCAGTACAGAAACGAATGGTATCAAGTTATTGGTATCGTACAGATGATTGTTGACCATAGCAGATCGTGCAAGATGAGAGTGTATTTAAGATAGTTTTATTGTCAGCTTAGATTATGAGCAATAGGTGCAGAAACGTATGATATTTAGTACAAATATCGCACAAATGATTAACTATCTTAGCAGATCATACGGTATATGACATGTGACTAAATGAATATGGAGATTTATTATTGTATAAATGCTAAAGATATTTATCTTATTATATAAATCTTATTGAAGTGAGAGGACTCACTTGTTGAAGGATGGCCGAACTGTAAGGCTAATAGTATTATTGTAAACTCATTGTCCAATTGTTGTTATTTGTAAAGTGACAGGTATCTGTCACTACAGATACCTGTTTACTTGTCTATGACAGTGGTCATAGACAAGTAAACAGTCTTGTATTTTATTATATAAAAGTGATACCCGACACTAAAGTAATAGTCGACTAATTTAATAGTTATGGTCAGATATCGACCTTAACCGTAACCACTCTGATTTTTGGCGGCAATTCGAACTGTGTTGAACTCAACAATAAGATATATATTTTGGAATAATTATAATTATAACGTAGAATATTCAAGTATTCATTGTTTTATTTCTGAGTTGAGATCTAGTTATTACAACTAGCAGTCAAACGATGGTCTCCTGTTGGTTTTTAATAACCCAATATGGTCAACTGGTCTTTTGTTGGTCTTCTTATCTACTGATATTAATTTAAGGTCTACTGTTCTATTAGTCGTCTACTAAGATCAACTGATACTTTATTTAGATCCTATTTAAGATCTACTCGATTTTTGGATGGTCTACTAACCGTCTACTAATGGTCTACTCGTGTTTTCAAACATGTTCAGTGTGGTAAATCAATGTACTTGTAAATATAATGACAATTAATTATCTCTGTTGATTTATTTCAGGTATTGTAGAAGAGAGTGTGACGGGCGTCCACCGACTCTACCAGTTGAGTAAGGCGGGCAAACTGTGCGTGCCTGCTATGAATGTCAACGATTCGGTCACTAAGACAAAGTTCGATAACCTTTATTCTTGCCGGTGAGTTAAGCTTTCTATACAATATTTATCATCACCAGTACCCAGTACCTTTCTCATGGTTGTCGCATATCCAATAAAAATATTGTCTAACATCACTTTTGATGTCTCGGAACTTTTTAGACTGCAATTTCGCTTGCACCCGCAACCCCGTCTGGCGAAACTTCTAATGGACGATTCTGGCATATTTTTTGACATAGGTCGGCAAACGAGCACACAGATTACCTGATGGTAGGCAATCAGCGCCGTCCATGAACGCTCGTAGTACCAAAGGAGTGGCTACAAGTGCGTTTCCGGCTTGTGGGTTATTAAGGATTTAAAGATTGGTTATTTGAGGATTGAGGATTAAGGATGGCGAGAAGAATTAAGCCTTCGGTAACCTCACTCACACTGCGAAACTTAACGTAAGTGGCGCTTGACGCCGATTTTCTGTCAGGCCGTGGTATCACTCCGGTCGAGCCGACCCATTCATGCCGAAGCTTGGCTCTCCCAAACTATAAGGACCTTTTTCTTCTTATCATCTCCATTTATCAATCTCTTCTTGTATTTCAGGGAAAGTATAATAGACGCGTTGAAGCGCAGCACTGATCTGATGTTTGGTGGTAAGCAGTCAGTCGTCTGCGGGTACGGTGAGGTTGGGAAGGGTTGCTGCCAGGCCCTGAAGGCCTTGGGATGCGTCGTGAGTATTTTTTTTTATGTATTTACGCCTTTTATTCCCGAAGTATGAGGCAGAGATTCAAATCATGGCAAATGATGCCAAATCTGAAATTCAAGCCCACTTTTAACTAGATATAAGTATTTCGACCACATCCCTTCAAAAACCCCCCCGTTCCTTCTCTTTTATTGTGCTTGCCCCGCAACTCCGGCCGAACATCAGCACTATAGGACTCCGTCTGTAGTGGTATATCGGCTCTTTGAGGCGCGCGCTTAACGCTACACGCCGTATGTTTTTATGTTTGCGCTTGGAAAATCATCAAATGACTTCTCCCGCCCATTGTGAGGCGAGAGGGAGTGTCAGACTCTTACTGACTAAAAATCCCTCGTTTCATCTCCTGCTTTAAGCCAAGGCCGCGGTGCCTTATTGCACTTATCTTGAATCCCGCCTGAACATCTTTGGTGGTCTATTGGCTCTTAGAGGCGCGCGCGGAACGCTACGCGCCGTACGCTCGGGTCTGGTTCTGGTCAGGCGGCGAGCTGCCCTTACTCGCCGACCGCAGACCCGCGGTTACAGCTACTAGGAGAGCCCATTACGCCCTTGATTTGTCAATATATACGCAAATCAAATAATAATAATTAAATGTTTTATATTTTCAGGTGTATGTGACAGAGATAGATCCAATATGCGCCTTACAAGCTGCCATGGATGGGTTCAGAGTCGTCAAATTAAATGAGGTCAGTAATTACCTATATACGCAACCAAAGCTAATGGTGCAAAAATGCAAACGAGAATAGAAGATGGAATATAAAGAATTATGTTTTAATTAGGTATGAGATTTTAAGTGTAGGAGAACCAAGCTTGGGCACGAGTGGGTCTTCTCGACCGGCGTGAAACAACCACAGCGTTGTGTTTCGCTGTGTGAGTGAGGTTACCGGAGGTTCAATCCTTCCCCCCTTTCCCAATCCTTAGACAAATATCCGAAACCCTTATCCCTAAAAGGCCGGCTACGCACTCGTAACTCTTATGGTGTTGCTGGTGTTCATGGGCGGCGCTGATTGCTTACCATCAGGTAATTTGACTGCTAGTGTGCCGATCTATTCTATAAAAAAATAAATAAATGATTGCAGGTGATAAGACAAGTGGACATAGTGATAACTGCGACGGGCAACAAGGGCGTGGTGACCCGCGAGCACATGGAGCGCATGAAGAACGGCTGCGTCGTCTGCAACATGGGCCACAGCAACACCGAGGTCGACGTACACGCGCTGCGCACCCCCGACCTGCTCTGGGAGCGAGTGCGGAGCCAGGTACCTGACGATAAATACACTCTGAACTTAGCCCATTAGCTGCGCAGTACACAATTTTGTTCCTAAAAGATCCATTGCGCAGACAAACGGCTAACTTCAGACTCGCCAAGATACGGCGGCCGTACTGTACTTGACTTTACTACAGTACACAGTCGGACAGCTCATTGATCCAGTTACATTGTTAATGGCCGACACTCTCTCAGCCACCTTGTTTATGGTAGACGATGACACTGACATTGACAGTTCTAGTGTTGCAATAATTAGTATGACTAATGACCGGTTCCTATATTTAACGAATCGTCGTTGTATACACATTACGACCAAATGACATTACGAATAGTTATCTTGACCGTCTACTGACGGTTAAAATATTTATAGGAACACCACAGACACCATAGATCTCCATACAATTCGCTTACCGACATCCGTTAGTTGCAAACCGTCAGTAAGTTGCACGACGAGACGTTTGTTATAGGAACGGTTTTAGCTTACGAGTCGTATATAAAACTACTATTCGTAACTAAAACGGATCGTTTCTCAATTATAGGAACCGGGCATAATTAGAGATGATACAACAGTACCGACCTAACTTAGTCACTCATTTATTGTATTGGAACTAAGTTTGTTAACGAGCGTCGCGAATTAAATTATATGTCAAACTAAACTGAAGGTAAACTAAAATTCCATCGAACACTAACTTATTCTCTCTCTCTCTCTCTTACTCTCCCCTCGCACTATATCTCTCTCCCTTTCTCTGACTCTCTCCATCCTTGAATTTCTCTCTTTCGGCTTTATTCCATGAATGATAATGAGTGAAAATTCAGAATTTGACATTTGTTAACTTTCCTTTTTTTTTTCATTCATTTTAATTCAATATAACTAGGAAAACAAAAGAAACAAAATCCTAGTCCTTCTTCATTATATTAATAAAAAAAATATTTGAGATTCCACTTCCCAGACATAAATAAATTGCTAATTCAAATATGATCTCTTGTCGTGATGGCCCGAGTGTTATGGTGGGCCCTCAGAATACAGATTGTTCTGTATTCTGAGGGCGGGCCGGAGATTAAGGCATCAATAGACATCGACAAGTACCAATGTGACTTTTTCCGAGTTATATGTACTTTTTAAGATTATTTAGACACCACACATACGGTGAAGGAAAACATCGTTAAGAAATCTGGACTTAAAATTTCTTACTATAAGTATTTAATCGCCAATCTGCCTTGAGCAAGCGTGGTGATCAATGGTCAAACCTTCTCTGTGTGAGAAGAGGCCTTTGATCAGAAGTGGGCACTTAAAGGCTGATGATGATGATGATGATTATCTCTTGCAGGTGGACCACATAATATGGCCAAATGGCAAGCGCATTGTACTCCTAGCGGAAGGTCGGCTGGCCAACCTATGCTGTTCATCATTACCGTCGTTCGTGGTCTCCGTGACTGCAGCGACGCAGGCCCTCGCCCTCATCGAGCTGTACAACGCACCGCATCATCGGTATAAGGTAAGCTGATGATTAGTGTGATGACGATGATGATTCAAGTGAAAGAGACTCAAGTCAGAGAAAATCGGCGTGATTCAACCTCAACGATGTGTTTCGCCGTGTGAGTGAGGTTACCGGAGGCCCAAGCCTTCCCATCCCATCCTCAATCCTCAAATTCCATATCATTAAGACCTCACAAGAGGCCAGTAAAGCACTTCTAGTAACTCATTTGGTATTCAAGTATTGCTTACCGTCAGGGAATTAGTGCTTACCATCAGGGAATGAGCCGGCTGACCAATCGCCTAACACAAAAAAAATGTTTTTGAGGAAACAGCAAACTCAACCCTAACTATCAAGAATAAGGATGTTTTCACGATAAATCTTACTTTCTGTTGCAGGCTGACGTATACCTATTACCAAAGAAAATGGACGAGTATGTAGCCAGTCTACACCTTCCCACGTTCGATGCCCATCTGACGGAACTAACGGACGAACAGGCAAAATATTTAGGCTTAAATAAAGTAGGCCCTTTTAAACCCAATTACTATAGGTACTAGCATAGAATAGCATATCGCAACAATAACGACAGACGGTGAATAAAAATCGCCCCGCAGTCGCCACGCAGTTGCCACGCACTCGCCACGCAGTTGCGACGCAGGTAACGTTTAGTGTTTAGTAAGTTTGCTTTGTGTATAAAATTGTTTAGTTTGAGTGATTGAGGTGTTTTGTAATTTGTATGTTGATAGTATTGTTTTAGCGGGGATGTAGCGTTTTTATTGCGTGGCAGACACGTTTTACATGTAGTGTCCAGTCAACTGATGGTAGCGGTGACTGTCCAGGCGTTACACGTACTTAGGTATCGTCATGAGCTAATGTTCACATGTAAAAAGCAGCTCATGTAGTGTAGATGTCCAGTCAACTGATGCTGTCCAGGCCACATGTAAAGGAAAAGCCGAACTGTTTGATATGCATGTAAGAAAATAATGATAAAGTACAGAAACAATATCCATCGTTTGTCTACTAAGCCGACCAATCGTAATAAAAGCTATAGCTATATTAAACACCATATAATATCGTTATCAATGCGACTTTTCAAGTTATATGTACTTTCTATGATTATTTAGACACCACTCGCATACGGTGAAGGAAAATATCGTGAGGAAACCTGAACTTATAATTATAAGTTTGCAATCGACAATCTTCCTTGAGAAAGCGTGGTGATTAATGCTCAAACTTTCTCCGTGTGAGCAGAGGCCTTTGCTCAGCAGTGGGCACTTATAGGCTGGTGATGATGATGATGATGATGATGATGATGATGATGATGATGATGATGATGAATAGATAGATACTGTCTGACTAAATCTTTATTTTCTTAATTGCAAACTAAATAACTGGAAAACGCTACATACCCGCTAAAAAATGAGTGTAAAAATTATTTGAAAAAAGAGTTTTAATCACAAAAATATATCAATTATTAGCTTTGTACAGCTTTTAAATGGAGTTCTGAAATATAGCTGAATGAAGGATTTAGATAGTAGGTGTTCTGTTGGGAATTCAATTAAAATATATAGTTTGGTACGAGAAGTATAGAAATTATAGATAAGTTCATTATTTGTCATGGATTCGGTAGTAAATGGAGGGTAAAATATTGATCTAATAATTAAATCTAAGTAATTAAAGTGTGGGAGAGCCATGCTTCGGCACCGAATGGGTCGGCTCGACCAGAGTGATACCACGGCCTCACAGAAGACCGGCGTGAAACAACCATAGCGTTGTGTTTCGCCGTGTGAGTAAGGTTACCGGAGGCCTAATCCTTCCCCGCCCCCAATCCCTCCTCAATCCCTAAATCTCCAAATCCCTAATCCCTAAAAGGTCGGCAACGCACTCGTAAATTCTTCGTTGCGGATGTTGGGATTGGGGTAGGGGAAGGATTGGTAATATGTACTTTCTGATTGTATTTAGACATCATTGATAAATGGTGAAGAAAAACAAGTTGCGGACACCATTTTTGAGAAGGTAAAATAATTAAAAGACAAAATGAGAGGAAGTTTAAGTGTGAGAGAGCTATGCTTCGGCACGAATGGATCGCCTCGACCGGAATGATACCACGGCCTCACAGAAAACCGGCGTGAAATAACCAGAGTTATGTTTCGTCGTGTGAGTGAGGTTACCGGAGGCCCAATCCTTCCCATCCCCAATCCCTAAATTTCGAAATCCCTAGTCCCCAAAGAGTCGGCAACGCACTCGTAACTCCCTGTTACGGGTGTCCATGGGCGGCGCTGATTGCTTACAATCAGGTAATCCGTCAGCTCGTTGGCCGACCAAAATACATAAAAAAGTAATCTAAGTTGTACATAGAAATGTTTTCTTTTTCTATATTAATTTCTGCCTCGCATGGCACACTGATGAATGAACTGAGTGCCTATTTTGTTTCATATTTGATTATAATTACATCTTTATGTATAAAAATTTCGTGTCACGTGTTTGTCCGCGATGGACTCCTAAACAACTAAACCGATTTTAAATTTGATTTGCATTCCGTGTGCATTTTGATCCAACTTGAAAGATAGGATAGCTTACATTTCAATTTATAGTCAAAATATTTATTTTATTGCAAATTATTTGTCCATGTGTAATAAAAATTGGTTGAAAATTGTTTTGATGTGTAAGAGATTCTAGTTTCAAATAAGTCACTCTTATTTATAGCGTGTTTTGCCATCCATTTATTACAGAATCTGTGACTCAGGCAACAGTTTGTTGCTTACATGTTGCCCGACAATCGCTCTACAGGACAACTATAAGAGATTCTACATATCCCATTACAATGTAGACCCCTATCTCATGTAGCTAGATAAAACTATAATAGACCCCCAACTCATAAAGTTTCAAAACTATCAAATATCTCCACCAGTACATTTTCAATTTTATGACAAAATAATAGAGTTGAAAATCGATCATAATAGTAAAGTTATTCATTTTCTTACGCTCCAACCAAAATTTGAAGAGAACGTCAATTTGTATGTGCGTGTAGCGATTCTTAAACATACATCGTCAATAGAAAGTGACCTTTATTTATATGGAAAATAAGTACTAAATGAAATTAAAGTGTACTTTTTAAAAGAAAATATTCAGTAAGCCATGAACTAAAGAGCTTAAATGCTTTCTGAAGCAGACCTTCAAGAAACTAACGCACTCCTTAAAAGGCCGGCAACGCGCCTGTGACTCATCTGGTGTTGCGGAAGTTCCGGCAGTTTGTTGGCCTAAAAAAACAGAGGTGACCAATACCGCCCAATTTTTAATTTAAGAAAATCTTTTAGCAACAATCCGTGGTTCTTTTCACAGAAGGCATTCACCTAAAATTGACTCCCTAGTAACAACATTCCTTTCAACCAAAAGTGGTATAATCAGAGATTACGTTTAGCTGAACAATTCAATTGAATTGTCTCCCGTTAACCAAATTTGGCCTAAAATTGTAAAAGAAGTGAAAATAAAGTAGAAATATAATTGATATGTATTAATTTAAATTGGTAATGATATTTAAATAGTGTTGTGTATTAGTTTTTTTTTTTAATTTATTATTTCTTCAAACAACATTCTGTTACGATTATAGTGGTTTGAATTTCTGCGATAGTTGTGTTTTTGTCGCTCCAACTGTGGTGCCACTGTAGCACAACTGTGGCGACCCATACTAGGATTTTCTTGTTTCGTGGATGTGTTACAATTTCACATACAAGTCACACACCTTGTTTATGCCTTGCTTATGAATATTATGGCATTCCACAACAATGTGATATCACAAATTTATTCATTGCGTTACTGGCAAACAAAAGGTTGCTCTGTGGAACAACTATCGCGCAACTTACACACGACTGTCGCAAATTCAAAACACTAGTGCCTAGATTACTGATTTGCAGTATTATTATGTATATCTATTTTCATTCAGTTTTTTATGCCCCCTATAAATAGAAAAGGCAAGTTTGTAAAATTTGTTGTTTTTGGATTTGTCTCTGTAAAATTTCAAACTTAAACACCAAATATATATAATATTTTATTTTGAAGTTACATATACGAGCAAGCTAGTTTTAATACTTGAGCGATTTGCATTTAGGTGATAAAATAGTATTTATTTTGTAAGATTTTTAGAAGCTGTGGTATATAGTCAAAATATTTGGATAATAAATTGATTTTATTAAGAGACAGTATGCATCGTTTGTCCACTAAGGGCAGATCTTTCAATAGTCAGATAAATGTTATCTGATGAATAAAATTGTTGCTGCCACTGACTTATGCAAACATTCTGACGCGACAGCATCATTATTATTCCCCAGATATTTTTTACCTAACCATTGAAAAACCATTCCTACCCCGAGCTGACGAATGGCCACAAAATATATGGCTTTACTAGACACCATATAATTTAGTGTAACTATATTTACTTACTGTCTCCTTAATTTGTCAATTTTTATTTTCTTAACTAATACATCGCATTATGAGCTTTGTAGAGTTCAATTGTCGTTGTGGGCCTGAGGTTAAGGCGCCCGGTTCTCAAGCACGATGGCGCGAAACCTGGCAAGTACCAATGTGACTTTCCGAGTTATACGTACTTTCTATGATTATTTAGACACCACTGACATACGGTGATGGAAAACAGGACTTATAATTTCTAATTATAAGTTGAAAATATCCAATCCGCCTTGAGCAAGCGTGCTGATTATTGCTCAACCTTCTCCGTGTGAGAAGAGGCCTTTGCTAAGCAGTGGGCACTTATAGGCTGATGACACGATGTGATGTGATTATCAGCTTATGTATAAGTGCCCACCACTTTTCACACGGAGACAGTATGAGCATTAACCACCACGCTTGCTCAAGGTGGTACGGTAATTTCTCTCTGTCAAATCTGTCGTCCCTTTTGGCTCTTAAGACTATGATCACACAGATGATATTTCCTGCTTTGTGAATGGTACTTGGCTCCACAGCTCCTAAAAATCAAATTAATATGTATATTCTGAAACAATATGTATGTATGTGTACTAATTAATTCAGATAAACAAAAATGTATCGTCATATAATTGTGTTCATGTATAAAGTAATTGTTTGTTAGTTAATAATTGGCTATGTTACCATTATTAGTGTTTAACCGATTTTGGAGAGCGAGGTTATTTGTATGTTTAACTGTATCTGTTTATGGCCTTAGTAATAATCACTAAATCAAAATATGGCGTCTTTAGTTTTTTTTTATATTAGTGATATTATGTTATTTCTTTGCTGAGCTACCTCTTTTGTTCACCAGATGGCGCACATGTCGTCTAAGGTCAGTTTTTTAATTACGGTGTTAAAAAGTATATATATCTTCAAATGTGTGACTCTGGATAATTCTTTAAAGGTCAATCAGAACTCTGCGCTATATTAACTCAATTTGGTGAGCAAAAAAGGTAGGCCTCGTTATAATAATGAAAGTAAATATTTTATTTTTCTTACGTTAGTTGAAAAATTTGATTCACCATTTTCTAATAACTCCCAATAATGCATAGCTTTATGATTTCAATATAGTGTAGGTAATTGTGCATTCATTGAATATTCCCACTGAACTTTATAACAAAGAATCTTTTTTATATGTTATATGAGCCAAACGAACAGATGGGTCACCTGTTAGTAAACTATCAGTGCCGCCCATGGTCATCCATGCAAGACCAGAGGAGCCACTAAGTTCGTAGCCGGCCAGTTAAAAAATTACAGTCTTTATTGAAGTTTTTAAATGATCTGCCTTTTTGTGAGCCGTTAAAAAAAAACTGTTAAGAATGCTAGTTACGTTACATGCTTAACCAAAAAAATGAAAAATAAATTAAAAGGTCTGCCCAGTCAGTTTCTAATTAAAGCTATGAGCTCTTTTCAAGGGTTGATTTCTTTGAAAAAAAATGCCTACACTCTTAAGCCTTTGCCGACAGAAAACTATTGATAGCAAATCCTCCGCTACCATAGGTCACCGGTGACCCACGTGGCGAAAAACGTGTTAAGGAAATTAAAATTATGTAGAAGATGGTGAATTAGATTTACATTGTTATTATTTTATAATTTAATTTATGTTATATATTTTCTTTAAGTTTGATTTTCACAAATTTAATACCCAAGGCTTGCCTGAAACATTGTTTTATAAGATATCTGTATTGCGTACAAGACCCCAAATATTTCAGAGAATTGTTAAAAAAAATAAACCTAATCCCCCTCATGACGAAGACAATATTCATCTTTAGTCTAGGTTTAAACCATTGAGTGAGGTTTTGTATTTTGAATCTGACAACCGGTTTCCGAAAGGCCGATCAATGTTAAAATCAATTCAATATCTGGTCAAGTCATCTGATTGGTTGACTGAATTATCAACAACCAATCAGATGACTTGACAAGAGATTTGAGACCTAGTTAGTTGATTTTAACATTGATCGGGCTTTCGGAAACCGGGCATTATTCTCACCTACCTTCAATTTTGAAATACAAAAGATGGCGCAGTTGTTTAGACCTTTACTAAATAAAAACCTTGTTTTGCTATAAAGCCGATTGAAATGACACCAATCACTTTTAAAATTAATTAAGGACTTGTTTTAATCAAATGTGATAATAATCGACCATTTTATGTTTAAATATAATTTGCTTTAGCCTTAATATCAGCCATGCTATCGACATGTCACAAATTGATTCCTTATTCATGTATGTATAACTTGACCCCAACAAAAAGTGAGTTGACCCCACGGATATATGAGTTGAGTTGACCTCAGGATGTTTCTTTGGAGAACTTTTACAGTAATTCCAGTAAACTTTGAACTGTAGGAAAATGAGTCTTAGCATGGATACGGTTTTTTTATGTCTCACATATGTAGAAACAGGACATTTAATTAATCATATGCTCTCAAGCGATTCCATAAAAATATTTATGATGATAAATTAATAAAATCCTGAATCGTATCTTAATGTTTCGAGATTATACTACGACCATTATTCATTTTTGTAATTTCAAAAGTAGTTGTTTATGCTTTAGATACAATAAACGCTATTGACCTTGATTCCAATAATGTTTAAATTTTCCGAAGAAACATCCACACTCAAAATATGAGTTGACCCCATAATAATATATGAGTTGACCCCACGCACCTGCTTCGAACGGCCCTGTAGGTGGTCACCGCCATGTAATTAACAGTAGAATACATAAGGGTATTGTTGCTATGTTTCTAATAAATATACGTTTAGAAAAATGTATTCTGTTGTTTTATTTTGATTTGTGCCTTCCCTACCAACAAGTTTTGACTTTTTTTGACTTTTGAGATTTGACAATTTTAGTGTTGCAACGTTATGACACGTAATAAATAGTGACGTTGCGAAATTATTCGATGTGGAAATCGAATATTTCTGAATCGATTTCTCTCGTTTATAAATTTATTCTCATAAACTAAGTTTGTCAGGAAATAAAATATTTCTGAACCGATAATTTAGTTTTGACAATTAATTAACGATCTGAGACTTTTCTTTTGTAATTGTGTGTGAAATTAATAAAAAATATGATCATGAAGGAAAATGACAAATAAAACAGAAATTTTATAAATTGTCGCCGTCATCGCTATCGCTATCGCTGTTACTTTCTGTAACATTTATTATGAATTGTGTCTGTAATTTTTATTGTCAATTAACATATCTAGCTTGCTATTTTATTCATCTTCTTTGACAACATGGGATACGCATTTAGACCATTCGGTAGCCGTAATTTTTTGAATGCCTTCCTGAATCTGATTCACTGATTGTTTATCGATTTTTGTGATCATCACTACACTGTTATATGTGGTATCATTATTTCACAAAATGACAGTAGGTCATGTCAAATCAGGAATCGAATTAAAATTCTGACTATAGGTGGACTTAATGCATTGAGCATTCTCTACCAGTCTACCTTTGGATGAGATGCAGAGATAATCCAGTGATAAATGCTAGAAGCAAGCAAGTTTTTACGTATTATGAGGACCTATTTAATAAACCTAAAACATAATCATATGGAATACACGGAACAACAATATAATTATTTATAATATTTTTTTTGCAGATGAGATGAGTTGCTAGTTTTCGGCTTTTTTGGGGCAGTGAATTGAGGGAGAAAGTTTGATACACTTATTTATTTATTTATTTCTTCTTCATACAAACAGTGTGAAAGGCGGACTTAATGCCTTAAGGCATTCTCTAACAGTCAACCATAGGGCAGTGCAGAGAATTTTTGCGGTTGGTGCGAAGCAAGGACACAGAGTCCTAGAACAGGATGAAAGGGGAAAGAAAAAGGAAGAAACAAACACGATTCTTTACACATAAATAAATAGATATGCATAAAATAAGTTAACGAATACAATAAATAATACATGTTAAGTATGGATATATTGAAACATACATACTATAATATACAGATATACATATATACATATATACATACATACATAATATTATCTAGATGGGAAAAACCATGTCGAGACTAGTTACCACATCTGTTTTGTGTCTGCCAATCCTTAAATAAATGCTC